CCCCGCTTACGTTCCGGGGATATTTGGTGGATTTGGCGCACGTCCCATTCCCTTAGATCCTGTTTTAGTGTGCCACAGGTTTGCCATGGTCTCCTTCCCCCAATTTAGTCCCAGTCTACCGCATTACCGTAGTTGGACTCGACCAAAATGAAGACGCAGGAAAGTGCACCCCCTGGATTTGCTCAATACGTTAGTACAGTAGTAGTATTAATACAATCTGTATTCGATATGAACACAGTAGAACTCTACCAGCACGCTTTTAATGATGTAGTGCACGTATTAACACCATAGAAAGGACAAAAAAGGCATAGAAATTTTCAGCAAAATATCATAATTAACGTGTGCTTCAAAATGGAAGAAACCATCAGCCGGAGGAAGAGGGTTACGTGCGCTCGCCGCGAATGGGTCGGGCCAGCTGAATGTCCTTGAGCATGATGGTGACACGCTTAGCGTGGATAGAGCACAGCTTCAGGTCCTTTAACAAACCCACGAGGTAGGCCTCTGAAGCCTCCTGAAGAGCCAGGATGGCCGTGGACTGGAAACGCAGATCCGTCTTATAGTCCTGCGCGATTTCACGCACCAGACGCTGGAACGGCAGCTTGCGGATCAGCAAGTCCGTCGACTTCTGGTACTTGCGGATCTCACGCAGCGCGACCGTACCGGGACGGTAGCGGTGCGGCTTCTTGACACCGCCGGCGGTGGGTGCTGACTTGCGAGCGGCCTTAGTGGCCAGCTGCTTACGCGGGGCCTTGCCACCGGTGGACTTGCGGGCTGTCTGCTTGGTACGGGCCATGGCGTTCTATGGTTGCTGTTGTTGCTTGTTGTTGCTTGTTGCTGTTGCTGCTTGTTCTTGATCCGAAGCTTGGAAAAGCGGAAATGAATCGCCTGAAAAAGAAAAGAAAAGGGGAAACACCGCAGCGTGTCTCCCGGGGGCTGGAACGCAGCACATCACAGCCCCAGTGTGTTTGGGCCAAAGTGGTGCTCCAGAGAGGGAGATGTACGCCCTTTCGGAGAAGTGCGCAACCCTTCCAGAATCTATAATGTGGAATTCGCTATGTTCAAACTCCCTCGGGCGCTGGGTTCGCGCCGGGCGGGCGCACGCTCTCGCCGAACATAGCCAAACAAGCCCTTTCCTCCCCTTGTCGCGGCTTCGTGTCTCTGGACCACTCGCTCGCGCTGGCTCCCCATCCCAGGTCGTGGGGGCGAGCGTGAGCTTAACATATAGGAGTTTGTATTGGCTGTCTGGGCCCCACCAGCCGCACCAAGAGCTTTATTCAAAAATCGGAAGGTGGCGTCGAGTCTGACTTGGTTAAAGTATGCTGTGGTCACCGTCGTTACGATCAGCCAATCCACCAATCAGCGACCGCCCTTTCCCCTATTGCGCACATAGAAAAGGCTAGGCAAGAATTTGAAAGTCAAGTCTCAAGCGGCACACTGTTGCTGCGTGTGCTGGAGTTTTGCGCTAAATTAATTCGTAGGAGCCAGTCAGCGACTACGGCAAGCTCAGAATTCTACTTTTGTAGGTGAGGTGCCGTTACAAGCTGTAATACAACGTATGTTTCGACCACGCATATCGTGGAGTCTTTCATGGTATGAAACGTCAATTAATCGTCAGGTGCGCAAGCCTCGGACGAATACGGGGTAGGGGAACCCAAAAAAGAATCAGATGATGCTCCTTCGAACAGAGGGAACACGAAAACCGCAAAGTTTGTGTTCTTTCCGACTAAGTACGAGAGCAACGAGCAGTTTTGGATTTTTCCACCCCCAAAGATCCTCTCGGAAATAAGTGAGAATCACGTGCTCGTTCTTAGCGCACTTGATTGGTAGATATTGACAGAATCTTTGAAGACACTGAAATATTACGAGCTGCATTCCGATTCGCGCTGTGGCCCACGTCTAGCACTGCTCCAGACACTGTATCCTCGTGAGTGAGGTCAAGCTACGGTTCATTGCAGCAAGCTTAGAACCGCACAGTCTCGTCGTGCTCGCTACTGCAATTATGGTCGACCCCCCTGCCGCAGTTCGACAGGCAGTGGAGAACTTTGAAGCGCGCGGCCCGTTTAGGGTGGTCCGGCCGCGTCCTACTGAGACTTCCTTCATTTTCAAGTGGGGTGTGCGCGTCGAATATGTGGAGAATGGGAAGAATGTACTTGCCTGGGCGTGCTTAGCTGATGAGGGCTGTCGGACATCAGGGCGCAATTTGATCAAATTACATGGTGGGAAAACTACTATGGCGTCCAAACACCTGCAGCGGCTTCACAAAATAAGCTCCCCTAAAACGGAGTCGGCGCTCGCAACCAAGCGCAAGCGTGATGCCGACATCGAGCACTTGCAATCATCGGTGCTATACTCGAGAAATCCGACCCGGTTACACTTTCTTCTGCAGACTCTACAGATAATCAACAACAACTTGCCGTTTCGATTGGGTGAATATGAAGAGACGAGGCTTATGAACGCGCTGCTGATGAAGGACGAGATGAAGGCCACGATTAATGCAAAGAGAGTGGCGGAACTGATTGCTGAGCTGTATTCGTCGACGAGAAACGAAGTAATTAATTTTCTTGAGGAAAACAAAGAATCGTATCCAAATTTTACTCTGGTCGCGGATTTTTGGACGTGCAAGACGACAGGAGAGAAGTTCCTCGGGCTGAGAGTCTACCTCGTGGACAAACAGTGGCAGTTTAAATCTGTTCTATTGGGTACAAGGAAGTTCAACCCAGCATACG